TGTCCTGACTGGAGGAGCTCATTCACCTGTGTCTGGAGAGAATCCAAGTTATCAGCTTCAACCTCACAGCTGGGCAGCTTGTTCCCCCCTCCCGCCCCTCTCTGTGTACAGTAGAGCCCCCTGTCCTGACTGGAGGAGCTTATCCAGCTGTGTCTGGAGAGAGGCCATAACTAAAAGTCTAAACAGTATCAGCTTTATTTATGGGTTGTAATTTAAGTCAAAAACTGCACTCAAAATGCAATTTAGCGCTTTCTGGCAAGAGGAGACACCCAAATTAATAATGTAACATGCTACTGTTTGTGCATGAATATAGTTATACTGTTATTCTTTAGATACGCGATTCCATGTTTTTTTTTTAATCCGTAGCGGAACTGGGTGTCCATAAGAATCAGGTAATAGGTTTATTCCATGCTGAAAAAAAGAAGAAAGAAAACACATTTCATAAGAATCAGTGCCTTTATATAGCGCCTTTATATTGCGCCTTTAAAGGTGGCTTCTCAAAGAGCTTTAGGGATAAAAACAACAATAACAACAACAACAATATTGTATTTCATTGCAGTTTGGCAGATCGTCTTTAAATCAATGATTTAAAGTTTGACAGTAAATGTTTATATTGTAAGGCATACAGCCTCCATTTATTTATATAAGATTAAAAAAATCATTTGCGCGGCTTAAGAGAGGGGGTCTGCTCTCAGTGACAGCTGACAATCCTCCATACACTCAAGTGAAAAATTAATAACGCCAATGTAAACGTCGTATTTAAAATTTGTTGATAATAGAAATGTTAAGTTCTCTAAAGCTTTGTGATAGTTTACCCAGGAAGCTTGTGTAAGCATGCGTGGGCAGCAAAAGATCAGCTACACTGGGAAGATGCGACACCGAAGATATTATTAAGAACCTTTTAAATGTGAAGGGAGATCTAAAGGGATCCCCACACGATAGAAGCAGGAAGCAGAAGCAGGAACCGTTGACAGAAGGAAAGAAGCTGACTGTTCATTGTTATTAGAAAAAGACTTAGATTTAAAAAAATTAATATCATTTATGGCCTTCACACGCATTACAGTATGTTCCTATTCTTTTTATGCTCAGCTACTAAGATTTCCCTTCAATGGTAAAATTCCATATGAATATTCAATACTAAAACGGGCACAGTAAAGACATTAAATATACATATACATACTGTATACAGTACAGTTTGCATACAGTAATATGTTTATGTTCCTAACTCAATCTCTTTTATGAGCATGTGAAAGGCATGGTGAATCGGAGATTCTAAAAAATTACTGTACTTTGATTGGAAACAAATGCATGATTAGATCAACGAAATGCTGTGGTGTTACTTTTACAAAGATGGTCAATGAAAAAAAGAATGTGGACCAGGGCAATACTTTGAGTTTAGAGCTTGTCCAAGGTCATTCATTATTAATACTATTAGTAATATCTTCGGTAAAGACTTTGATGGCGACAGCTCAAACATGAGAGGTTGAGCTTTATTAGCTCCACCTTGTGGAAATTCCAGATACTATTATTTTACTTGCAGTACCATGCGAGAAAATACGGTAACTTGCGTTACACCACGACAAGTGCACCACATTATAATACGGTATCGCCCGCTTGTTTTGAATGGCTGCATCTGTACAAACTCCACACAGATATCTTCCCAGGTCTGGAATTGAATCAGGGCCCCAGCACTGTGATACAGCCATGTTAACCACTGCTCCACAGTGTCTCCCCTCTTAAACAGCCCATCAGCCGCAATACTAGAATGGAGACAGACCTGGTCCACTTCTTATTCACTAGTAGACTTGTCTGAGCCAGTATCACTCAGCTACACCACCTGATGGACATGGACCAGGGCTGCTGGCACTGTGTGGACTGGATGTCAGCTACATTGGGACTGTATTGGGACTGTACAGGCAGATATTCATGTCAGTTTCTGTCTGTGCTACTGTACATCTCACTCGGGGGATGCTGTTAATGTAGGGTCATCCTCCTGATGTGCCTCTTAAAAAGCATAACAGTGAACCCAAATAATAAACCATATACAGTATAACTGAGGATGTGATAGGCTGCATCAACTGTAAAAGACTCACTTTTAAAAACCAGGATCAAGTGCAACTGAAATTGCTGCAAAAAGAGCTTAAACTGAAACTCAGGAATGCAAAGAACACATGGAGACAATGGAGAGTTACTTTGAAACAGTGGACTCCAGAAGGCTGTGGTAAACAATAAAAACGGTCATAAACATGAATTATTCAAAGAAGAGCGTCCATACAATGGATGAGCTGGCTAAAGCAAATGAGTTGAATGTCTTTTATCTGAGGTTTACTATTTTTATCTGAGGTTTACTCGGATACTATTATTTTACTTGCGGTACTATGCGGTACTATGCGAGAATATACGGTATTATTACGGTAACTTGCGTTACACCGCGACAAGCGCACCGCATTATAATGCGGTATCGCCCGCTTGTTTTGAATGGCTGCATCTGTATAGATGAAACATTTCTAAAATGTAAAACAAAATTAAAGACGATTAAAATCGGTAATTTCTCCATGTGTAATGTAATTAGAAAGTACTACAAGTTCCTGCTTTGTCGTTGGTATCAAATAGTGGTCTAAGTGATGACAAAACGGTGCTTAATGATAATTAACGGACTTAGAAGTCAAAGAAAAAATGATTTATGTTTAATTTTAAACACTAAGTTAGAATGCAGACACAATTGGTGCCATTCGCACTCCCTGTTATAGAATGGCCATTGTGTAATACTGAGCTCCGCACCTCCTCCCTCTGTTGGTGCTGGCCCCACCATGATGGAGCGAAGTGGGCTGTACACTATTTTCAGAGCCTCTGATTGGGGAAAAAAGACCTGCTGATCTGTTCTACATACCAGGAAGAGAACAGAATATATTTTTTTCTATTCGAAATTAAGAAGTAAAAACCTTACAGCGTACACAAAGATTCTAAGCTGATCACGCGGAACAAAAATCACTCGTTTTTCGCACTTAAAAAGCAGTTATTAACTTTCGAAACCTGTTTTTATAGCTTTTGAAGTCGTCCAATGTCTAAGTTAAACAGGAACACATCATTATATCATATTTTTTATTTCTTTTTTAAAAATTAAAAAAGATAATTTGCCCAGCCTAATAATAATCGAAAAACGAATGTTGTGAATGAAACATAAATTTACCACATGCTCAGCATGTTTGGAACATCGAACGTCCACTGCTACACTTGTGTTTTTAATCTTATTTATCAAAAAATGATTGGGGAAGGGGATTTCCCTCAGTTTGATACGGAACATGCCAGGTTTTAAATTAATTGGCCTTTTCGGCCTTTATTGGCCTTGAAGGTGAAAGGTTTTATGTTAAAAACCTAACCTAAGGTAAGATGTACAGCCAGCAGCCATATCACTTTGCAACTCGCAACTGGCAACCCACTGAAATTCAGCAAGTGTGAGCCTTGCCAGTACCTGGATGGGAGACCTCCTGAGAAAAACTAAGGTTGCTGCTGGAAGAGGTGTTAGTAGGGCCAGCAGGGGGTGCTCACCCTGTGGTCCATGTGGGTCCTAATGCCCCAGTATAGTGATGGGGACACTACACTGTAAACAGGCGCCGTCCTTCGGATGACACGTAAAACCGAGGTCCTGGCTCTCTGTGGTCAATAAAAATCCCAGGGTGTCTCTCGAAAAGAGTAGGGGTGTAACCCTGGAATCCTGGCCAAATTTCCCATTGACCCTTACCAATCATGGCCTCCTAATAATCCCCATCTATGAATTGGGTTCATTACTCTGCTCTCCCCCCCACTAATATAGCTGATGTGGGGTGAGCGTTCTGTCGCACTATGGCTGCTGTCACATCATCCAGGTGGATGCTGCACATTGGTGGTGGAGGGGAGTCCCCATTACCTGTAAAGTGCTTTGAGTGGAGTGTCCAGAAAAGTGCTATATAAGTGTAAGCAATTATTGTAATTATTATTACTTGTGTGCAAAATTTCAGGTCTGTAGGATGAAAAATAAGAGTGTGCATAAGGAAAAAACAAACACTGTGCTTTTTAGATGATGAATTTATGTAGTTGTTTATATTATAACTATAGTGAATTGAAGTCCTATTGAATTGAAATCATATATTGGATCCCTTTATTTAGAGAACTGGAGCAGAGATGACTGTGAAGAAACCTGATACATGTGGTCAGAATTCTCAATGACAGTAACAGTCAACCCAGTGGAGTACTTCAGAATGGACAGTGAAACACGAATGAGAAGGAACAAGTGGAAACTACATGGAAGTTTATCTAAAACTGATAACAGCAGGCACTTATTTACATAAAGGATTGTAGGGGTGTGGAACAAGCTGGCAAGTCATGTGGTTGAAGTGATATCCTGGATTCCTTGATAAAATGGCTAAATAACATATTTAGTTCAATGGGCTGAATTGCCTGCTCTCACTTGTAAATAACAAGTGTTAATGTTTTTGCCATTTGTTTATAATATTCCCCTTTAAACAAGAGTTTGAGTGTCACTGTATTGAATTAGATGCAATTTAGAAATGGTGTCAAATATATTTTGTCAGTCATAGGCACTATCCTTGTGTTTTTACAAACATTCAAATACATTTAGAAAAATCTGCTCAGCATCTACTTTTTCACGCAAAGAGATGTTCTAATCAGTGGACTTGACAGATATATTTTATTGCATTGCTTTTTGACCTTTTTGTAGCAAGGAGCAGGGCACATGGCATTTAGTTTTGGAGGAGGGAAGAGAGAGCTCTAGATCATGGGGGAAATCACATGGAGTTTCAAAAGAGAGAAGAAGGAGTTTCAGGGCATGAAGGAGAATGTCCTATTGTGAATGTTGTAGAGGGTCATGTCAAAATAAGAAAAGCCTCATGTGAAACATACACAAATCAAAAGATGAAAGAGGCAAATTAAGGTTTATTTTTCACTTCTTTTGTTTTGGATTTCAGGATCAAACTGGGACCTATAGAATTGACCCATGAAAGATGTCAGAAGAAGGTACAGTATTAAACTTATATTAATCTCAACAGAACCTTCTGTTTTTGACCATTTCTGTAAAGCAGGAGACTGCATTGTAAAGTCTGTTGACGTTTATTTAATGGATATTCTGCAATGTACAGTATTTACTCACCTACTGCATTAATGCCAGTTTCAGTTTTCTTCAGCACTGACTCTAGTCAGTGAAGTTCCAGTTCAGTGAATCACTTTTAGCAAACTACCCACAGGGCTGAGTTAAAATTACTGCCATAGGTATTCAGAGATAGTTGCAAAAGATCTGGCAACAGTTTAGAAATGAATTTAACCAGGTGGCCAGAATCACATACAATGCTAAAAATGGGAAAGGCAATTTATTTTTTTCTGGGAATTGAAAAGAAAGGCAGTCAGGGAAAAGACTTGAGGTTAGTATGTCTGGTGGTAAAGGTTGAAGACTTAAGTCTTGTTTAGGATTTGCAGTGCAAAACTCAGGTTAAAGATTAAGAATATGGTTAAGTGTGTATCAGTACTCTACCTGTACATTTTAGAGAGAGCTTCTATTGATTCAAGGCTCTGCATTAGACAGGTTGTGTGGATTTAGTGAGAACCAGGTAGGAAGCACAGTTCAGTTAGCACTGAAAATCAGACCATAACAGAGAACATATTCAGCCCTGAGCTTGCTCTCTGGGGACTCAGTTTCCTCTTTATAGACACAGGAGGAAGCTCCTTAGCAGACAGGTTCTTTGAGTAGAGGCCAGGAATGTCCCGAGGATATTAAACAAGTTAGGGCTGTGTTACAGAGTGAAGGGGGGACTTTGTTCATTTTTCCAGCTTTCTATGGCAGAATACATACAGGTGCCTGGTTTCAGGGTGTTAACAATAAAACACAATAAAAGCACAGGTCTGTCAGGACATTCATTGTATTGTAATGAATGGGGAATATTATACCAGGAGAGTATAAAGAGCCACACACGCTTAGACGTATGTGTGAGGGACCACACTATCTCAGTGAGAGATGCCACTCCGGGCATGCTAGTGAGGGGTGAGAGAGAGAACAGATTGAAGGCAAATGTTAATTGCAGGAGTGGACTAGTGTCTTAAGATGCAGCTTGATAGATGTCCAAGTTGTGCTCAGCTGTGGAGGAGGCAACACTAATTCAAAGAAGCGGAGAGTGAAGGGATGCAGGCTGAGAATGCCGCTGTGGAATAGGATGGACAGAAGTGTAAGCAGTATGTATAAATGGTGTGTGGGCTGCTGGCATGGAGTTTTGTAAGAACTGAAACAGACTGGAGGCTTGATGCTGGGTGAATAAGAGATGAGGACAGTTCTGAACCTTGAATAGAAGAGGAAGGTTTATGAGATGGTAAATGCTGGGAATCTTAGGTATTTGAAAAGAAAAAGTGGACAAGTGCATTGTATTCACGAACATATCCATAAGGGGTGAAACGGTGTTGTTATAATAGGAAACAGAATGAAAAGAATGGTGCTGGAAATAGGAATGAATGTGGAATATTATACCAGGGCTGTATAAAGAGCCACACACACTTAGACTTGTGTGAGGGATGACACTATCTCACTGAGGTGGTCTTCCATGCTGGCCTGACTAAAGTATTCTTGTCCTATAAAAACATCATAATAATTTATCATAATTGCAATTATAATTACAATATTACTTTGATCATTATAATGTGAATGGAGTACAACAAAGGTTTAGAACAGTTACACCAACTTCAGATTTATTGTTTCATGTTTCGCTCTCATCTACTCTGCCTACATTTAGTCAGTTTGTTAAATTCCCTACTAGAGATAACAAGACTCTGGACTTGCTGTATGCTAATGTCAAGAATGCCTACAGCTCCACATCACTTCCCCTCCTTGGCAGATCTGACCACAACCTTGTTCATCTCCTATCTCTGTACAAGCCTCTTGTCCTACGACAACCAGTGACCACCAGGACAGTGAGGAGATGGCCAGCTGATGCTAATGATGCACTGATGGACTGTTTTGAAACAACGGATAGGGAGATACTCTGTGAGCCTTATGGAGATGACATTGATGGTCTTACCCACTGCATCACTGACTACATTAACTTCTGTGTTAACATGCAGTGCCAACCAGGAAAGTGCCCTGCTTCTCCAATAATAATCCTTGGGTCACCAGTGATCTGAAGGCCATCCTCAATAGGAAAAAGAGGGCTTTTCGGGCAGGTGACAAGGAGGAGCTGAAGCAAGTGCAGAAAGAGCTGAAGGTGAGAGTTAGGGAGAGCAAGGTGGCTTATGGGAGGAAAATGGAGGACAGGCTGATGGAGAGCAACGTGAGAGAAGTGTGGAATGGCATGAGGAAGATCTCCGGATACAAGTTGTCTGGCGGCCAACAGTGTGAGGGAGGCCTGGCGAGGGCCAATGAGCTGAATCTTTTCTTTAACAGATTCGATACAGGGTCCACTGTCCACTCACCTCACAGGCCTTCACCCCAGACACCCCACCATGAGATCCCTCCCACTCCTACTCCATCTTCCCCTGCCCTCCTCGGCCTATTCATCACAGCTGACCAGGTCAGAAGGGAGTTGAGGAAACTCCATGCAGGGAAGGTAGCGGGTCCTGAAGATGTCAGCTCCAGGGTGCTAAAGATCTGCGCGGACCAACTGGGTTCAGTGATGCAGTACATCTTCAACCTCAGCCTGAGATTAGAAAGGGTTCTGATGCTCTGGAAGACATCTTGCCTGGTGCCAGTACCCAAAAAGGGGCACCCTAAAGTCTTGAATGACTACAGACCACTGGCACTGACATCACACCTAATGAAATCTCTGGAAAGGCTTGTACTGGACTTCAGAACCCTGGTGAGTACAGCACTGGACCCTCTGCAGTTCGCCTACCGGCCACACTTGGGAGTAGAGGATGCAGTCATCTATCTGCTACACGGAGCTAACTCTCACCTGGAGAAGACGGGGAGCATTGTGAGAGTAATGTTCTTTGACTTCTCCAGTGCCTTTAACACCATCCATCCACCTTTACTGAGAGATAAGCTAAGGGCGGCGCAGGTGGACACTCCCCTGGTGTCCTGGATTATAGACTATCTGACCTGCAGGCCACAGTATGTATGGCTACAGAGCTGTGTGTCCGAATAGGTTGTTAGTGGTACTGGGGCACCACAGGGGACTGTCCTTGCTCCATTTCTGTTCACTTTTTACACTTCTGACTTCAGGCACAACTCTGAGGCATGTCATCTGCAGAAGTTTTCGGATGACTCTGCAATTGTGGGGTGTATTAGAGAGGGGAGGGAGGGAAATATAGGAGCTTGATTACCAACTTTGTGGAGTGGTGTCATTTTAACCATCTCCACCTTAACACCAGCAAGACCAAAGAAATAATCCGAAGGAATTTCATCAAAGAAATTATTCCGAAGGAATAAGTCTCCACTGAACCCTGTTTCCATCCAGGGTGAGGACATAGAGGGGGTACAGTCCTACAAGTACTTAGGGGTTCACCTGGCTGATAAGCTGGAGTGGTCCAGTAACACTGACGCCCTGTACAAGAAAGGTCAGAGCCAACTCTATTTTCTTAGGAGGCTTAGGTCCTTTGGTGTGAGTGGAACACTGCTACACATTTTTTTATGAATCAGTGGTGGCGGCAGCCATCTTCTACGCTGTTGTGTGCTGGGGCAGCAGCATCATGACAAAAAATGCAAATAGGCTCAATAAACTTATCAAGAAGGCTGGCTCTGTGTTGGGTATGAGCCTTGACTCCCTGGAGGTGGTGGCTGAGAGGAGAATGCTGACCAAGCTCACAGCCATCATGAACAACGCCTCTCATCCGCTTCATGGGACTGTTATTGGGCAGCGGAGCACTTTTAGCAGCAGACTGCTCCAGCTACGGTGTTCAAGGGAACGTTTCCGCAGGTCTTTCCTCCCGGCGGCTGTCAGGGTGTATAACACTGCCCTAGGCTTGGACTGTTAGCCCTTCATTTGCTCATCTATGGACAGCATGTTTGCTCCATTGTACTTTTTGGACAATCAGTCTGTATAAATTTATGCATATTTTGCACATAATTTTATTGTTTCTACAGTGACTATGGTCATCACATTTTGCACACACCTATGTATTTATTATTTAGGTATTTTATATTTATTTTGTTTTCTTTTGTTGTTATAACTATTCTGATGTCTGTTTTTGCTTGTCTTGGGCTGGACTGCTGTAACACATCAATTTCCCTACGGGATTAATAAAGTCTTATCTATCTATCTATTATTTGTATATTTGCTCCATGAAGCAAAGAACCTTGTGTCTGACATGAGACACAAACCCGCTACCCTGAGATTATGAGTCTCATGCTCTACCAACTGAGCTAGTTGGGACACGATGGTTACAAGGATGCTATAATGGCCAGGCAGCTTCAAATGAACTGCAGTTTTTTCTGTTTTCCAATGTCTTGTGAAATAATTAACCGTGTCCTCTTTCAGAGGTGTTTGTACAGTAATGTGAAAAAGAAAGTACACCTCTTTCAATTCAATGGTTTTACATATCAGGGCATAAATAACAATCATCTGGTCCTCATCAACTTCTATAATTAGACAAATCTAGAATCAGATAACAGACAACACATAACAGATTTCACTATGTCATTATTTATTCAACAAAAAGTAAGCCAAAATGCAGAAACCATATGGGAAAAATTAAGTACACCCTTACTGCTTCCATAGGAATTAAGAAGGTAATTAGCAACCAGGTGCTGTTAATCAAATGCATTTGATTAGTTGATAATCAGTAAGTGTGACCCCCTCTATAAAAGCAGCACTTTTAGCAGTTTGGTGGCCTGGAGCATCCAGGTGTGTGTTAACACTATGCCAAGGAACAAATACATCAGCAATGAACTCAGAAGCAATTGTTGCTGCTTATAAATCTGGAAAGGGTTTTAAGGCCATTTCCAAACAATTTGAAAACCATCATTCTACAGTGAGAAGGATTATTTACAAATGGAGAACATTCAAGACAGTTGCCAATCTTCTCAGGAGTGGGAGTCCCAGCAAATTCACCCCAAGGTCAGACTGTATAATGCTTAGAGAAATCACAAAGAACCCAAGAGTTACATCTAGGCATCTACAGGCCTCAGTTAACATGTTAAATGTTAAAGTTCATGACAGTACGATCAGAAAAATACTGAACAAGTATTGCTTTTGTGGAAGGTTAGCCAGGAGAAAGCTCCTCCTCTTCAAAAAGAACATTGCACCACAGCTTAGAATTGCAAAGTTGCATCTGAACAAATGACAAGATTTCTGGAACAATGTACTTTGGACAGACAAGAACAAAGTGGAGATGTTTGGTCATTAAGCACAGCACCGTGTTTGTCGAAAACCAAACACAGTGTCTCACCACAAACACCTCATACTAACTGTCAAGCACGGTGAAGGGGTGATGATTTGGGCTTGTTTTGCAGCCACAAAACCTTGGCACTTTGCAGTCATCGAGTCGACCACGAACACCTCTTTATACCAAAGCAATCTAGAGACAATTGTGAGGCCATCTGTCCGACAGCTAAAGCTTGGACGAAATTGTCATGCAACAGGACAATGATCCCAAGCACACCAGCAAATCTACAACTGAATGGCTGAAAAAGAAAATAATCAAGGTATTGGAATGGCCAAATCAAAGTCTAGACCTCAACCCCATTGAAATGCTGTGGCGGGACCTTAAGAGAGCTGTGCATAAACAAATGCCCTCAAACATCAATGAACTGAAGCGAAGTTGTAAAGAAGAGTGGGCCAAAATTCCTCCAAAATGATGTGAGAGACTGATAAATTCATACTGAAAACAATTACTTCAAGTTATTGCAGCTAAAGGTGGTTCTACAAGCTACTTAGTTTTCACACATGGCTTCTGCATGTTGGCTTATTTTTTGTTAAATAAAAAATGACATAGTGGAATATGTTATGCGTTGTTTATCACCTGTTAGATTTACCTAATTTTAGGATCTGGTAAGGACCAGATAATTTTTTATGTCCTTATATATGAAACCATAGAATTGAAAGAGGGTGTACTTTCTTTTTCACATGACTGTATGTGTGACTGTTAAAGAATCATGTTGCACTATCCAAAGAACAAAAACATTTTTTTTCTGCTTTCAGATTCTTCTCTAACTCTACACTTCTCCTCACCCATGTTCACTCTCCTGTCTCTGTCTCTCACTCTTACTCCCTGTCTTCCAGCCCCAGGTTTTGAGTTTGTGGACAAACACAGGGCCGATCTCATTCAGAGGGTGAACCCAGTTGAACCCATAGCGGATGCACTGCTCTCAGAAAAGATGATCCATCAGGAGATCTACAACAGGGTCCTCACTGCTGGAACCCCTCAGGACAAAATGAGAGAGCTGTATAAAGTCCTGGATTCTGGAGGAACAACAGTGAAAAACAAGTTCTACACAATTCTGCAAAAGAACAGACATATTATCAACGACTTGGGTAAGAGCACCATTCTCATTCATACTCACTCTTTTCTCTTGTTTTCTAATTCTATCCTTGTTTCTCACAATGTCATCTGTCATCATATAAAAATTCATTAGCACATAGCAAAAATAACAAACTTCACTTCCTTGCTTACTGGTATATAGTATGTAGTGTATATAGTGATAACTTGTGGATTTTACTGAATATACTACAATCACTAACAACTATTCTTGTGTTGATATTTACTTTTTATTTACTTGTATTTTAAAACAACTTACTATCATTATACATAGACCGTATACAAGGTAGAACAACTATTTAATTTATATACTCACATATCACAATGATTAGATCTATTCAATTAAGAGAAACACATAGTGTGATGTAAGAGTAAGTGAGCTCTAGATAACATGAATATGAATGGGTTTGATCAAAAGCAGTCATAGTCAAGAGTGAACAACCAGTCACTATTACTTTAACAGAACAGGGAGAGAAAACTCTCTTTGTATTGTTGCAGCTTCTTCACCAGAATGCCAACAGGCTCCAGGTTCTCAAACACATGGTACAGGTTGGTCCAATATTTAACATTTTCAGTGTAAATTTTTCTTTCTTCCAAGTGCTGTTTAATTCAGTGTTATTTCACGAAACCACACAGAGTAGAGCTCCTGTGATCACCTGGGAATGGGCTCTGAACACCTTCAGAATGGAGGTTGATCATGACGCTCTGCTGGATCGGTCACTGATGAGAATCTCAGCTCAGTAAATGTCAGGATTTCTCCTGCCGTCTCTGACTGTCTCTTAACTATTGTGTTCTGTCTGTTTTAGGGTATCTGCAGACATTGAAAGACAAACATAAGGAAGCTCTAAAGAGGAAGTTTGAGGTTGTGTCTGAGGGAATTGCTAAGCCGGGAGAGAAGACCCTCCTCGATGATGTCTTTACACACGTGTGGATAACTGAGGGCAGCTGTGTTGAGGTGAATCATGGACATGAGGTCATACAGGTAGAGACCATCTCCAAAAGCAAAAAATCAGAGATCCGCTCCATCAGGTGCAGAGATATTTTCAAGCAACTGCCAGGACAGACCAGACCCATCAGGACTGTACTGATGAAGGGAATCGCTGGCATCGGGAAAACATTCTCTGTGGAGAAGTTCATTCTCGACTGGGCTACTGGAAAAGACAACCAGGACTTTGACTTTATATTTTTTCTTCCATTCCGTGAATTAAACTTGATCAAATCAGAAATGAGTTTACAGGAATTGGTTCAGTGTTTCTGTCCAGAGATAAAATCCTCTGATAATGTTTTAGATTGCTATAAAGTTCTGTTCATCTTTGATGGTCTAGATGAAAGCAGACATCTTTTGAACTTTAAAACAAACCAGAGGTGGTCAGATGTGAAAAAGCAAGCTTCAGTGGACGTGTTGTTAACAAACCTCATCCAGGGAAACTTTCCTGTTGACACCTCCATCTGGATTACTTCCAGACCAGCTGCAGCAGGTTTGATTCCTCCGGAGCTCATCTGCAGGGTGACAGAGGTCCAGGGGTTTGAAGACCAGCAGAAGGAAGAGTACATCAGAAAGAAGTGTAAGAACAGAGCTCTAGCAGACAGAATTATTTCACATATAAAGGCACTGAGGAGTCTTTACATTTTGTGCTATGTTCCTGTTTTCTGCTGGATTGTAGTTACTGTTCTGGAGCACACATTGGAAGAGAGCAGTGGGGAGAGTCCAACAACACTGACAGATTTCTATACAAATTTTCTGCTTTTCTTACTGACAGAAAAGGAACAGAAGGAAAATAAAGAAAATGTCTTCAAATCAAATCAAGAAGCAATTCTGAAGCTGGGAAAGCTGGCATTTGATAGTCTAGAGAAAAGCATCATTGTGTTCTATGAAAAAGATTTGAGAGAATATGGCATTGATCTCCACAACTCCTCCATTTACTCAGGGGTGTGGAAGGAAATATTTAAACAAGATATAATCTTATTTCAGGAAAAGGTGTACTGCTTTTTACACCTTACTGTCCAGGAGTATTTTGCAGCTCTGTATGTTTTTGGTTCCTATCAAAACAATAATATTAACCCACTAAAGAAAAGGGTTCTGTGTGTTTCCTGGTTGAGAAGAATATCTCTATTCAGTCTGAATAAAGGTGCTCTAGAAAGAGCCATCCAGAGCAGGACTGGTCACCTTGATCTGTTTGTCAGATTCCTCTTGGGAATGGGAATGAGCAACAACCAGGAGCATCTGAAGGGATTCCTGTCACGCACACATCACTCCAGTGACATCCAGAAAACAGCAGGATTCATCAAGAAGCTCATTAGGGGAACTTCCTCTCCTGAAAGATGCATGAACCTTTTCCACTGCCTGAGTGAACTGAAGGACAAGTCTTTAATGGATGAGTTCAATGTGACTCTGGATAAAGTAAAACGTTCAGGACAAACACTCTCACCTTCCCAGTGTTCAGCACTTGCCTATTTCTCACTGCTGTCTGAGAAAGAGATTGATGTCTTTGACATGAGTAAATATGTTACATCAGAGGAATGTTTACGGAGATTGCTACCTGTGGCAAAGATAACAAAAACCCTTAGGTAAGTACATCAGACTTACTTCACATACAGAATAAGATGTTGAGTCAAAATTGCCCATATGAGCGGTCTTCTGGCTAGGTGCTCTGTGGAGTAGATGTGTTCACCTCATGCTTTAGCATACTTTTTGTTTTTCATTGTTAAAACCCACAATTATTTTTACCATTTTAAATTATTTATTCTACAGTACATAACATTGTCTAAACCTAAACCTAAATGCAGTTTGGAAGAGAAAAGCTTGCATCTCAAAACTCAAACACTCCAGCTACGGGTATCATTCCAACTTCTTTGGCTGATACAGCTGTAGTATGGATGGTGGCTGTATTTCCAGAACTGGAAAGCCTCAGAAAAGGATTGTCTTTTCTGCTGACTTTTGAGGTTTATCATGGATCTGAGTCACAAACTTGACTGCACTAAATTGGCTGTAAACATGCAGGGCCACCAAAATCTCAAACTGGAGCTAATGACATTGTGGACAGTGTCTCAGATCTGAAGGTGGCTCAGACTTAACTGCTGTCAAGACCAAGCTGACAGAGTTAGAGAACTGTAATAGGAGACAAGATCTACAGATTGTGAGCTTGTCTGAGTTTATCGAGGGGTCTCATGTTACTATTTCTTCTCTGCATTTTTCTTTTGTTTTTGGAGCTGCTGGGGAAAGATGTAATTAAGCTTCCAGCTCTTGTGCAAACAGCCCAAAGCCTTGCCTTGTCATCATGTGCTTTCACCAGTATGAAGTGAAGGAATCAGTGCTGCAGTCAGTGAGGATTTATGCAAGTTTCAAAACCTCTGCGTGCTCTTTTTTCTCTAATAGTGAAAAATAAATGAATGTAACAAATGAGTTAGAAAAGAGCAAACATGAATACTGTCAATGATGGGAGTAAAAAACAGTTCTACCAGTTATTTGGAGATAGTAAGGGATTCAAAGATTCCCATTAACAGAAATTACAATTAAGGTTAAGTGCATATTTGCTTTTAAATATTAATCATACCACTGTATAATATATTTCAAAATTAAAATCTAAAAGAAAAAAGTGGTGTTAATAAAACAATAAACATTTAAAACTAGTGGTGTTATGCAATAATCTCCCACCTTCCCCTTCTTCCCCACTTTGATGATGAGGACACTTAGACCCCTTCAGAGTGAGAAGTGTGGAAAAGTGAGGAGGGAAACAACAGGTGAAACATAAAAAGGTGGGATTTGAAATCGTGAGAATTTCAGTGATACAGGTCAAGCTGTAGTACGAGTTATACTTTCCTTGACCATCATGCTATTAAGCACTCTTATACATTTACAGATTTACAGTTCAAACCTGAAGAGCAGTGCTTTTCACTGTAGCAACACAAACATGTTTTAACTTAAACTTAATTTAATCAACAAATGTGATTTTTTTTAACAGAAGATATTTACCTATTTCACATTGACGTATGATTACCATTCTAAACACACACCAGTAATGAAGTAAATAACAGTGAGATAAATAAGAGTGGTGCCTGATGGAGTAATAATGTGCTGTGTAAAACATCAAAAGTTAAATTGCAGAGATTATGTGCTGTCTCAGAACCTCCAGGTAAGTGCTGTTACAGAACCTAGTAGTCCTTGTTTTGTCTTAATAGACCTAAGCCGTCTACCAGAGGGGAGAGAAGTAGACAGAGGTTGGGCTGGATGGGAAAGGTCAATGAGGATCTTAAGAGCTTTGGGTTTCAGTTCAGAGAGTCCACAGAGAGAAGGGGTGTCCTACAAATTTGAAAGCTACTGTCTCTAGTGGTTTTCTTGTCCTGGGCAGAAGTATTGCCAAACCAGTTATGGAGAAGGACAAAACACTGTCTATGACAGATCTATTGAAAAAGGTCATTGCTTCCTGCAACACCTCAAATATCTTTAACTGTCTCAGGAAGAACAGCCTCTGGTGAGCTTGTTTGGCAAGCAAGCAAACTGGATTGGGTCCAGGTGCATTCTAGACAGGAAATTGGCTATAAGTCGCTCAAAAACTTTCAAAATAACAGAAATCAAGGCTATTGATCTGTAGTCATTAGAGGCAGCTCACAGTAGATTTCTTACGTACTGGTACTATAGTAACTTTCTTAAAGCAGTGTGGTATTGTAGCCTGCTTAAGGGATAAATTGAAAATAGGTATAAAGATAGGAGAAAGATGAGTGGCACAAGATTTCATATGCAGCTGTAGATTTTGCTTGTAGCTGTTGTGTACAGTATGTGGAACCGTGCTCCTGAATGATAAAGGGTGGCTGGAGGGGCTGCACTGGCTGTGTAGGGCAGTTTGCTGCAGGTTCTTTTGTACATCGAACCTGCAGTAGAATTTATCCAACTTGTTGGGGAGAAAGATATCATTACCTAAAGCAGTTTGTTTCACCTTGTAGTCTGAGATTAGTTGAAGGCCTGGCCAGATGCCTCAGTTTTCTTTGATGAGTTTATTTTCAAGTTTGTTCTTATATTCAGGTTTGGCCCTCTTTACTACAGTACATTTTGGAATTTGTATTTGCCAGATTAGAAACCGGAATCATCTCCCTCTTTGAAAGCTCTGTTCTTTTTTTCCCACGGGGGTTTAATTTCCCTGTTGAACCAGGGCTGATTATTATTGTGCACAGTGAATGGTTTTCAAGGAATGTACACACTCTCCCAAAAGAGAATATATGATGTTACTGTGTCAGTAAGCTCCTTAAGATCACACCAGGCCTCCTTAAACATGGTCCTGTCTGTGGTATCAAAACAACCCCTTAGCACTTTCTCAGTCTCATCTGACCACTGTTTTACACTTCCTATTGTTGGTTTACATGTGTTAGATCTGTTTATATCTTGGGATAAGAAATGTTGCAGTATGACATGACTGACTGAAAGAGGTTACGCTCTGTATGACCATAGAATAGTGTGCAGCACCATAGCAGTGTTCCAGTATTCTGTCCTTCCTAATTGCAACTTCTATCTGCTGTTTTTATCTGGGGAAAACCTTCCTTGGATTTCAGTGCTTAAAATTTCCCAAAACAATGGCTGGGGAATCTCGATATGAATTTTTAGCCTCAGTGATTGTCAACACTAACTGTTGGATAGCAAAAGTCATTTGCATATGGTGCATTATAAACAGCTTAAGTAAACGATTGGCTGTCCAGTCTGAAAAAAGTAGAGAGAAATCCTGCAGATTCATCACGGAATCTGATACCACTGAACCTAACCAGGTGAAACAGAGCACAGAGCAGTTAGAGTAATCCTGTCTAAGGTTGAATTGCTTATTGATTACAGTAAATGAGCAAAGCCAGTTCATCCATCTTGTTTGGCAGAGAGTGCACATTTTACTTTCTTGATAGTGGTGAGCTGAGATTAGTGTTTCTAAGCTGGGTATGAACTCCAGTTCATCAGACCTGTTTCTTAGTCTGGGATGGGATACAGGTGCACAAGATACCTACAGTACATTGTTCAGATCAATAAAGTCACTTGATGAAAAAATCAGCTTTGGTTGTATTATAAGAGCAGCTGGCCCTAATTAACTCCCATTACCCAATTACTGCACCACACCCCTTCCTTCACTACTTAAACCCTTTGCTCACCTTGTTCACTGCTCGGTATTAGGAATCTTTCTGCCTCCTGAGCTCTTGTTGCTGACAACCTTCACCATTTTGCACTCGTGGACCTCGCCTATTGGCCCCTTTCCAGCTTGTAACTTTCGACCATGCTTTCGTCTCGCCCTTCTTGGATTCATTTTCCTAACTCTCCTCTCTGGACTTGACTACACCTGAACCTATCAACTACTCTCCTGCCTCGCCCTTCTCGGGCTTGTTCACCTCGGACTCCGTTAGAGACCTGCACAGGGCTCGTTTTACTCACTATAACAGGTTGTAGATTGAGATTAAGTACCCGTTCATGTACAGATGCAGCCATTCGAAGTGCGTGGTACAAACCCATACTGCACGCAACTACCTCCATCATACCGCAGTACGTGATTGGCTGGCCAAAATGACCAACAGGGGCACTCGTGGTGCATTGGTCGGTAGTGAAAACATTTAATCATTTAATCTCTTTACTGTGCACGTTTTAATCCGCTTAGTATTGAATATTTATACGGAATTTTACAACTAAAGGGAAATTTTAATAGCTGAGCATAAAAAGAAGAGGAGCATAATGCATCTGAAGGTCATAAACAATAATAATTTAGGAACATAAACATATTATGTAAACTGTACTGTATATGGCTGGTCTTGGTAGATTAAAGACCTTGGTCCACATTCTTTGTAAACGAAAAGACTTTATCTTTTCATTGACAAAAAGTAACACCACAGCATTTCAATGATCCAATCACGCATTCGTTTCCAATTATACAATCATACATTGCATCTGCATTCATAACTTCATTTTAAACATTAAGTTATGAATGCAGACGCAATTGGTGCTTTATGGCCATTGTGCAATACTGAGCTCGGCGTATCCTCCCTCTCTCGGTGCCGCCTCCCCCTCCGATGCAGCGCAGTGGACGGCACGCTGTTTTCAGAGCCTCTGATTGGGGAAAAAAAGACCTGCTGATCTGTTCTACATACCAGGAAGACAACAGAATATGATTTTTTTTATTTGAAACATGTATTTTAAACGTTTAATTAAAAAGTAAAAACCTTACAGCGTACACAGAGATGCTAAGCTGATCAGGACGAAGAAACATCACTCGTTTTTCGCACATAAAAAGTGGTCATTAACTATCGAAACCTGTTTTTATAGCTTTTAAAGTCATGCAATGTCTAAGCAGGAACACATCACTATATCTCTTTTTTTATTTATTTTTTAAGAATTAAAAAAATCGTTTGCCCAATCTAATTTTAAAGACCTCTACTTGTGAAACTTTTCGCAGCCTGTACATAAAACCATATACACAATACTGCTGACAGCAGGAACATTCCTATTCTTTGCTCAGCAGCTTATTAAAAACAGCAGCCATGGTGTTCAAACCATTTTTTTACACAGAAGAGTGACACAGCTTCGCATTGTGAATCTGTTTTCGTAAGAA